TTTTGAAACATCTAAGATGGGAGTTATTCTAGGTGTTTGTGTCCAGGCGGCACTGGCTCAGTAGGGAAGGGCAATTGCTGATGCCCGAGGGAGCAGGAAGAACTGGAGTGGTGCCCGCGGGAGAGGGCTGGCCTTAGGACAGACAGTTCAGCCGTTGGAGCAGGTGGTGGTGGTGGTGGGGATATATGGGCACAGTGACAGGTAATTAGTTAGTTGTGGTGGCGGCGGCGGCAGTGTGTGTGTGAGAAAGTTCTTGTCTTACTGTTTCTATATTCTTAGAACAGTGGTCCTCCACCTTCCTAATGCCATGACCCTGTCATACAGTTCCTCGTGTGGTGGTGACCCCAGCCCCTCATCAAATGTTTGCGTTGCTACTTCATCACTGTCATTTTGCTACTGTTATGAATCAGGCGACCCCTGTGAAAGGGTCGTTTGACCCCCAAAGGGGTCGCGACCCACAGGTTGAGAAGCGCTGGCTTAGAGGCTTTGGGAGTCTCACACCTGAGTGGGAGCGTGAGGGAGGAGGAGTAACAGCAGTAATGGTGGGTGGGGAGAGGATGGTACTATTGGCTCCTGAAACAATTGCTCACTCAGCCACAGAGGCCTATTGAGCGGGCACACACATTTGCTGCCCACCCAGAACACTGCTGAGAAAACCAGTTCCCACCTCTAATAGCTGCAGGTGTTTCCTTCTGTTGTCTGTAGGAAGATCAGAAATGGAAGAACCTGTTAGCTGGGGAGTTGGCGGAAGTAAACTCAATAGAAAAGGACTGGAATTAGGAGAGGGGGTGGTGAGAAAGGCTGCCTCTAGGATGCCTTCTATAATTCGATACATTAATGCCACGTTTGATCTTTGATGAGGGGAAGATTTAGTTGCCAGTTCAGGTTTTTGAAATAACCGAAACCAAGCCCATGGCTGACTCTTGGTGACCCTACAAAACTGCTCCATAGGGCTTGCAAGGGAGCAGTCTTTGTGGAGCAGCTGGTGGGCTTGAACCACTGACCTTTCAGTTAGAAGCTGTGTGCTTTAACCAGAGCTCCTCTTGCAATAGCAACATCCCCTCAGAATGATTTTTTTCACTTTGTGTATTGCACTATATCAGGTCATTTTTAGAAATACTAACTTAATGTATATAATTATTTAGCTCTGTCAATATCAGCCTGATTTTACAAATGAAGAAACTGAACTCCATTTAAATTACATAGCCAGGGGGAATCTTATCTAGTAAGTTGCAGAATTGGCATTCTTAACTGGAATTAAGTCATCTAACTGCTAAATCTTAAACTGTTCATAGGATATCATTGCTGTAGCTTGGAACCAGAGAATCCAGATTTTGTACAGGGTGGATGAGAGATGGCAGAATTATGGACAAAGTGATTAGATTTTCTGTCTCATAATTTTTGCTCTTCCATTGGGTGGTCGTTTCCTAGGTGGGGGGTTAAAAGGCAAATTAATTTGCTCCATTTTTCAAATGAGCAGAACCAAGTCATTGGGAGCAGTGGTTCTGTGTCCAGGGACAAACTTCGAGGTGATGTTGGTAGTAAGTGACCAGTCTGCCTTGGTGGGCAATTTGAGGAGAAATCACTGACTGGTGGACCGACCCCAGGGCGCTGCCTGCTACTTCCTTTAGAACAGCGGTTCCTAACCTGAATTCTAACAGCTTCTATTTGTTCTGCTTGTGTGTGTGTGTGTGTATGCCTTATGTATTATCGCAATATATGTTATTTTAATTTTTTTGGTATTTTATAATGAAAGGTAACTTTAAAAAACAATTGTCGGAGCTGATTATAAGGATCTACATATGACCTTTCTGGGGAACAGACAACAGAGAAGTGGGTGAAGGGAGACGTCAGACAGTGTAAGACATGACAAAATAATAATAATTTATAAATTATCAAGGCTTCAT